GGCTTTGACGACTGGCTGTTTAAGGCATGGGGTTGCAGACGCCCAAATTCAATGGGGCCTCGGGTCACCAACTCCTTGTCACCTCGGGGACCATCGTGGTACCGCCCTCTGGCAGAGAAAGAAAAACCAAGGTCCAAAGCAACGTCTCTCCGAGATGCAGTTGACGCTTCCTGCAGGTCTTTAGCCCAGAATCTTCCTCCAGAGAGTGTGGCCCCTCCTGGGGCTGCAAAAATGGGATCCCCTCAACAACCACCCACTGCAGATGGACCGCACACCTCCCTCACTCTCTGCACCGTGCCAGGCATGTCCAGGTAGGGTTTCGAAGGTCAGTCACCTTCCGCCCTCGGTCCCCAGGACTGTCAACTCGGGGCGAGGAGGTGGCCTTTCTGAGCGATGAGGTGGGCTGTTTCTTTAGGAAGGTGCTTCCCTGCTGATTTGGAAAAGCCCCACCCGCGAGGCGTGCCAGGCTGCCGCTGGGCCCCATCCTGACCCTCCCCAAGCTGCAGCCCCCGTGTCACATACACCCCAGCGGTAGGACATCTGTGGTCCCTTTGGCCCATAGACCTTCTGAGAATCCGCTCACTCACTCATTCCTTCCCTCACACCAGCCTACGTGCGCCCAAAGGCCCCCACCCAGCACCCAGCACCCTTCCACTTTCCCTGCTTCTTTGGTTCCCAAACGTGGTCATACACCGCTGTCACTCTGAGCGGGAGCCCTGTAAAGGGGAGGGAGATTTTTAAACTTCTCCAAATTAAGGTGACCAGAGAGGCCGTGCCCTTTGGACCTGCTACTCTGACAAATATGCTAGTACCTGTATAAAGAAAACCTTTACAGGTGGAAAGGAAAAAATACTACAAAAGTTCTGCAAACTTGGAGTCCATTTATATGCTGGAATGAATAGGGTGAACTCCTACTCATCATCCAAAACCCTACGTGGACATGCCCTTCCTCCAGGAAGCCTTCCTCAAGTCTGCCACATGAAATTCATGAATCTCTCAGAATGACACCTGTTTCTGACACCATCGTGGGTTCTTGGGCATAGCCCCCTCACTTTGTCAACCTATTCATCCGTCTGCCCGCTCTAGGTTGTATTTTAAGGACAGGGTGTTCCAAGATGTCTTCACAGCTACACCCACAGCCACCTTCCTCCTGCACATGCGCGGGCGCTTTGTCTCCCTAAGCCTGTTTTCTCATCTGCGAAATGGGATGGCTCTGTCCTGGCATGGGCTGCTGCAAGGATTACACGAGACAGGGACCCCGTACAGAGCCTGGCCCTCAGTGCATTTCCCGCCGTGTGCGGGAGCCAGTGAGCCTGCAGGGCTGAGATAAAGGAGTCCGAGCTGCTGCACTGCCGGCGAGCCTCGGTGACTGGTGAGGACTGGGACTGGGTCTCGGAGCCAGCCCCGGGGAGGCGACTCTCCGTGGCCAGCTTCCCTGTGGATGGGCTGCGGGAGGTCCCGCAGGGGAGCCCCTTCCTGACTCCGAAGAGCCCGGGGGGCCCATCCTACCAGAGGGGAACACGTCCCGGTGTCAGAAGGGCCCTGGCGCCACCCGTCTGCCTCTGTGCCCGGCACTGCACTCAGGGGTCTGCCCAGAGACAGCGCGTGGGGTGGGGGACATATGTGGCCACTCCACCTCCCAGGAAACCAAGGCTCAGGGCGCAGACCCTGCTTGCCCCCCGGACCAAGTGACTCAAGGTCCTTGCACTCGGACTCCAGTCCAGCCTCAAAGCCACCACGGCAAGCCGCCTGGTCACAGGTGCTCTGTGCTCCTGAGATGGGGACTTCCCTGGAGGTGACGCAGCCTTGGACCAGTGATTAGACAAGACGCCAGTCTGGGGCGCCTCTGTGACTCGCTGTTAGTGTGATGCTTCGGGGGGAGGGGTCGCAGAGAGTGTGCCACAGGAACACGCGTGTCTGCCTCCACGCTGGAGGGCAGTTCTTGATCTGCCACCACCACTTCTGACACGTGCAACCTGGCCCGGCCTCCGCAGTGGCCCCCTGACCTGTGCCGCGGGCTGGAGAGACAGCGACTGCACCTGTCCGACTGCGGGTCCAGTGAGGAGCTGCAGGCTCCGACCCCGGCCCGAGGCCAGAGGCCGGGAGGGAGCGAGGCCCTCCGTGTCTTGGCCGCCAGGGTGCTGTGGACCAACTCTGAGAAGCACAGGGAGGTCAGGATGCCCCGGGGAGTGGGAGGGTCTGCAGTGCCCTCAAGTCTGAGGCTGGGGCACTGAGTGACGCTGCCGCCCGAACGGGGACCCCAGGCGAGCTGGCGCCTGGACGGGACTGGATGAGGGCTGGTGCTCACGGTGGCCTTCAAGCCAGATGCCGTCGGCTCCACTTCAGAAACAAGAGGACACAGGCTGTGACTAAACCACTTGCCTGAGGCCTGTGGCTGTTCGCGGGAGAGGCAGCATCCACTCCGGGGTGGCCCCACACCAGCGACCACTGGGAGGATGACAGGCTGTGTGTGTGTAGGTCTTCCTGTGTGCTGAGTCCAACAAGTAGATGACTTCTGTGGCAACCACCCCCCGGACCCATTTCACAGAGGAAGACAAGTGGGGATTGGGATGCCACGTCACTTGCAGTAGGTTGCACAGCCTGCAGCCTGACCCCGGATGCTGGAACCCAGAAGCAGCACCGCCCCCAGAGGCTCCCTCGTCCCCTCTTCTGTCCACCACAAATCGGACCCCAGGGGCTCCCAGGAGACCTGGAGAAACATTGAGAGACCCTTAGCTTGTCACAGCAGGGCGGGGGAGAGAAGGGGGCCGCTACCAGCAGCCAGTGGGTGAGGGGGACACTCGACATCCCCCGTGCACAGGACCCCCCAGTCACACCTAACAAATTGTCAGGGTCAAAGCATCAACAGTGCCAAGGCTGAGA